CTGCGGCAGCGCCAGCACGGCGCTCATTCCCCAGGCGGCCCCAAGCATGGCCCTACTCCTCCTGGCCGCGCCGCGCGCTCCCAGCGGGCAAACGATGGCGTCGTGCCGATCCAAGGCGATGACCACGGTGACGAAGGCCGACGCGTACATGGCGGCCAACTTGAGGAACATGAGAGCCCGGCACGCCGCCTCGCCTCCGTACCACTGCACCGTCACGTTCCAGGCCGCGTCCAACGGCATCACCACCACCGTCACCAGCAGGTCGGCCGCCGCCAGATGCGCCATCAGCACCCGCACGCGGGGCGGCCGCCGCTTGGCCCGCACGACGGCGCACAGCACGGCGCCGTTGCAGCAGGAGGACGAGAGGAAGAGCAGGCAGGTGACGGCCACTCGCACCTTGGCGGCCGCGCTGAAGGTGGGCAGCGGGGAGCCGGGCTCCTCGGCGCTGCCGTTCATGGCGGGGGGCGGCCCCGGCGCTGCTCGTGCCGTGGGGCATCTTCTATGGGGGGGTGGGAGCCGGGTGCCGAGCGCCGGAGGGTCTTCAGCCCGGCTGCCCGCTGCGCTGCTGCTCTGGGGGCATCTGGGGCTGTGGGTGAGCTGCGGCGTCGCGGGGAGCGCAGGGTCACCGCCGCGCCGGGAGCGTGGGGGACATGGGGAACAACGGGATGGGAGCCTCAGGACCACCTTCAGCACCACGTCGGGACCTTTGGGGACATCACAGCAGGTTGGGACCCTCAGGACCTCCTTCACCACCACACTGGGACCTTTGGGGACATCACAGCAGGTTGGAACTTCTCACTGCCACACTGGGGCCTTTGGGATCACAGCACCAGGTTGGGAGCCTCAGGACCTCCTTTACCACTGCATTGGGACCTTTGGGGACATCGCACCAGGTTGGAACTTCTCACTGCCACACTGGGATCTTTGGGACCACAGCACCAGGTTGGGAGCCTCAGGACCACCTTCACCACTGCGCTACAAGTTTTGGGGAGATCACAGTAGGTTGGGAGCCTCAGGACCACCTTCACCACCACACTGGGACCTTTGGGACCACAGCACCAGGTTGGGACCCTCAGGACCACCTGCACCACCGCACTGGGACCTATGGGGACATCACAGCAGGTTGGGACCTCCAGGACCACCTTCAGCACTGCGCTGCGAGTTCTGGGGAGACCACAGCAGGTTGGGACCCTGAGGACCACCTTCACCACCACGTCGGGACCTTTGGGATCACCACACCAGGTTGGGACCTCCAGGACCACCTTCACCACCACGTCAGGACCTTTGGGGACATCACACCAGATGGGACCCTCAGGACCACCTCCTCACCACCACATTGGGACCTTTGGGACCACAGCACCAGGTTGGGAGCCTCAGGACCACCTCCTCACCACCACGTCGGGACATTTGGGGACATCACAGCAGGTTGGAACTTCTCACTGCTACACTGGGGCCTTTGGGATCACAGCACCAGGTTGGGAGCCTCAGGACCACCTGCACCACCACGTCAGGACCTTTGGGGACATCACAGCAGGTTGGGACCCTCAGGACCACCTTCAGCACTGCGCTGCGAGTTTTGGGGAGACCACAGCAGGTTGGGAGCCTCAGGACCACCTTCACCACCACGTCGGGACCTTTGGGACCTCAGGACCACCTTCACCACCACGCTGGGACCTTTGGGGACATCACACCAGGTTGGAACTTCTCACTGCCACACTGGGGTCTTTGGGACCACAGCACCAGGTTGGGACCCTCAGGACCACCTGCACCACCGCACTGGGACCTTTGGGACCACCACACCAGGTTGGGACCTCCAGGACCACCTTCACCACCACGTCAGGGCCTTTGGGGACATCACACCAGGCTGGGACCCTCAGGACCACCTCCTCACCACTGCATTGGGACCTTTGGGGTGGACACACCAGGCTGGGACCTCCAGGACCCACATCGAGGACAGCCAGGCTGGCAGCTCAGCCCTCGCATTGCCCTGGGCCCCATCCCACCACCACGGCTGTGTGGGAGCAGAGGAGCTTCCTCCTCCTCCTCCTCCTCCTCCTCCTCCTCCTCCTCCTCGTGTCCCTGCAGGGACGTCCCCTCTCATCACATCGGGGTCCCCTCCTGGTGTCACATAGGAAGGATGCGCCCCATCCCCACCCCGTGGCAGTGCCACCCGCCGCAGTGTCCCCGTTCCCAGTACTGCCCCCCCCCCGGCTCTGTCCCCTCCCTACCCCCCCCAGCCCAGCAGTGCCCCATAGCAGTGCCCCATAGCAATGCCCCATGGCAGTGCCCCATAGCAATGCCCTCAGCCCCAGCAGTGTCCCCCATGGCAGCACCCAACAGCAGCCCCAGCAGTGCCCCATAGCAGTGCCCCATAGCAGTGCCCCATGGCAGTGCCCCCCTTGGCAGTGTCCCATAGCAGTGCCCCATAGCATCCCCTCCGGCCCCAGCAGTGCCCCATGGCAGTGCCCCATAGCAATGCCCTCAGCCCCAGCAGTGTCCCCCATGGCAGCACCCAACAGCAGCCCCAGCAATGCCCCATAGCAATGCCCCATAGCAGTGCCCCATAGCAGTGCCCCATAGCAGTGCCCCATAGCGGTACCCCATAGCAGTGCCCCATAGCAGCCCCTCCAGCCCCAGCAGTGCCCCATAGCAATGCCCCATGGCAGTGCCCCATATCAGTGCCCCATAACATCCCCTCTGGCCCCAGCAGGGCCCCGTGGCAGTGCCCCATAGCAATGCCCCACAGCAATTCCCCACAGCAGCCCCAGCAGTGCCCTATGGCAGTGCCCCCAGCCCCAGGAGTACCCCACAGCAGTGCCCCATAGCAGTGCCCCATAGCAATGCCCCAAAGCAATGCCCCGTGGCAGTGCCCCATAGCAGTGCCCCATAGCAGCCCTCCAGCCCCAGCAGTGCCCCATAGCAATGCCCCATGGCAGTGCCCCATAACAATGCTCCATAGCAGTGCCCCCAGCCCTAGCAGTGTTCCCTATGGCAGTGCCCTATAATAATGCCCCATGGCAGTGCCCTCCGTGGCAGTGCCCCATAGCAACACCCCATGGCAGTGCCCCATAGCAGCCCCTCCGGCCCCTCCAGCCCCATGGCAATGCCCCCAGCCCTAGCAGTGCCCCATAGCAGCCCCTCCAGCCCCATAGCAATGCCCCATGGCAGTGCCCTCCATGGCAGTGCCCCATAGCGGTCCCCCATAGCAGTGCCCCATAGCAGTGCCCCATAGTAGCCCCTCCACCCCCAGCAGTGCCCCATAGCGATGCCCCATGGCGGTGCCCCATAGCAGTGCCCCATAGCAGCCCCTCCAGCCCCAGCAGTGCCCCCTAGCAATGCCCCATGGCAGTGCCCTCCATGGCAGTGCCCTATAGGAATGCCCCATGGCAGCTCCCCCCATAGCAGTGCCCCATAGCAATGCCCCATGGCAGCTCCCCCAGCCCTAGCAGTGTCCCCTATGCCAGTGCCCTATAATAATGCCCCATAGCGGTGCCCCATAGCAGTGCCCCATAGCAGCCTCTCCAGCCCCATGGCAGTGCCCCATAGCAATGCCCCATAGCGGTTCCCCATGGCAGCACCCCCCACGGCAGTGCCCCATAGCAGTGCCCCCCCACTGCCCCATGGCAGTGCCCCATAGCAGTGCCCCATAGCAGTGCCCCATAGCAGCCCCTCCAGCCCCAGCAGTGCCCCACAGCGGTGCCCCATGGCAGCCCCCCATGGCCCCCCACTGCCCCATGGCAGTTCCCCA